ACCCTTAGCTAGAGATGGATAAAGCATGCATTGTGCGTGTATAGTTATTTAAAGGAAAATAATGTCAACATTGAAAGTGAAACAAAGATAAATCATTTAATCGACTGGGTTCGATCCAGAAATATCATTCTTATACAGGTAAAAACGATGATTAACATATTTTTAATCTATAAGAGGAAGTTAAACAGACCTAGGAGAATCCAATTGCATGAGTTCGCTATATCTATTTATCATGTTTATATCTATATTTATGTTTTTATCACCATGGGAGGTCTTCGGAGGTCAACTCGATAGTTAATTAGATGGCGTCTAGACTAAAATACAAGGAAACGAAGCTACATATTCTCGGGCCCATGCCCTGTAAATTGTTTGTTTTAGACTTTTTATAATTTGGATAAATGTTTTGCTTTGTTATAAATCAAATGTGAGAATTTGAGTCAAATCGGTGAACATGAATTTGACAGCTAGTGCCCCTTTAAATATCGTAGTCCACATTAGGGGTTATATTGTATCCTATCCAGGCAAACTAGGAGCAAGGGAGTAGAACAGAAATAAAATCTTCATCGAGTGGCAATAACTCATACATTGAAGCGTACTACTACGGCAGTGTCGTCTAGAAGACAAAATTTGCTGGTTTTTTTTTATATCTGGTATAATGGTTGTAATGAAAGCAAAAATGGATAAAAAAAATGTCGACACCAGTTTATATAAGGATTAAACTTATTTTGACCTTTTTATTTATTTGTTTAGATATTGTCTTACTGATCGGTTCTGTTATTTAAAATCTTTTTCATCTACGATTGTCCTAGCAAAAGTAAAAAAATGTGTTAAATTCAGCCATTCGAATTATTGGAAAATTTAGCTGACCTTTGTTGTAGTTTACAGATTTCAATCAATTAACTTGTGCATAGATCGTATTTCCCCCTAAAAGTGTTTTTTAAATGGTCCTGTAGTGTATATATAACGTGAAACTCTCACTACACTAGGCATCAGATATACAACATTTCTTTTTTTGTCCGAACGAAGCTGCGTATTTATACATCTGATGACCAAATCAGATGCACCCCTTTAGCAAGGGTATACAGTCGGACAGGAAAGGTTCAAAGATGTCAATATTCCTATACCCAAGTCAATCCTTCATAGATAAAGGTAAAAAATTAATGCGACAGCAACCCAACTGCACAGACACATTCAAATATTAAGAGTCAATATAGTGTTTTGTTATAGAAAGATTTGTATACAGAATAATAAGCTCAAACAGTCCCATGACTAAAAAAATACGAAGTTAATCTAATAATATCTACCGTCAAAGGTAACCCAACAGGCACACTTGATTAAGTATTAATTACCGTTAAAGATATCCCAAAAGGCACAAAGGTTTGGTTAAAAAATATCTCCTTCCCTTTTTTAATTTCGATCGGTGGAAATTAATGGAGGTGTAATATAAACCAGTAGAAAAAAAACAACACTTTATTGTATAGTTTAACAATAAAATAAATGATGATAATGAATGAAGTCCAGTGGCAAATTAAATGAATATTCAGGACGATAACATGTAAATACAAAATGTATAATATGAGTATTAACCCTGCTTGTACTAGACAGACACGCTTAGTCGGTGTTTTAACGCGTAAGTTCACAAGATATTAGTTTGTAGTAAGAACAGTCACCCTACCCAGAAACATTTCTGACTCCGAGCCGACAAGTCTGTGCTCTTACTACTAAATGCCACAAGTTTAAGTGTTGAAACAGCAAATACCAATGTTAACGTCTTTGTTTGACCGGTCGGGATTCAAACCAAAGACCTTTAGCTCTTGAGGCGAACACATTTCCTCGAAACAAACCAGGAGAGCGGTAGTAATATCATATAAAAACTAATGTAGAATTGATACAGTTTCACAGAATTTTCACAGTTACTAAAGCGAGCTAAAAGTATCTAACCTGAATTAGATGCGTTAATTGACATTGGAAACTACACGTAAATATGGATGGCCGACTTCAGAATAGATTTCATGGATCTGCGCTCTCTGCAAATAAGAAGCTCTTTTATCAACTATTTAGGGGTGTGGGTGTAGCCGGATGTGGCCAGTTGTTGCAAGTTTCTGTCCTAATTCAATATACCCTCAAATTTCAGTGGTATTCCAAGTTTCACGTCCAACCAAACTGTTGACCTCTTATTGCAAGACCTGCCTGTTTTTAAAATTGTTATGTTCTCGTTATGAACATGCATGAAATATTTGCCACTGGACGTAAAGCAAACAACAATCAATCAACTCCATAAATTATTCCATGTACATAGTACACGAAGACAAGATCTTGTATAATGCTATCATGGAAAATTTCCATTTAAATCGCTCAATGATAGTGCAATTTTTTTTGATGGTTTTGCAATTTACATTAAAAAAAATATTAAATTTATTAATTACTACATAACGTTAACTGATCACTTATAAAAAAAATGAAATCTTTTTTAACCCTTGGTTCTTATCTACTGTTTTATTAAGATTTAGGATATGATTTTGTCAAGTAATTATAAAACTAAGAAAAGTAAAAGTTTTTTTTTTTTTAACTGTTTGTCTATGGTACATTTAAACGTAAAAAGGGAATGACGAACAACTAAAATAAAAGTGTTTGTTTTCAAATAACACATTGTATTTTAATTTAAGAATAATGATAAACCGTGCGAAAATATCTCATCTATACACGTTTTGATCGAGCCACTCAAACATGTCAAACCTACATAACTTGGTGCTAAAGATGTTACATTTAGGCTATTAAGTACGATTTTATTCATTGGAGTTTAAATGCAGTTTATATATATATAAAGCCTAGGAAGAGCCTAGGTGGTGGACTGGTATAGCGTGTCAGACATAGTGCAAGGCGATTTGGTGCCACGATATCTCAGTAGCATGAGTTCAAATCCCAGCCAGGGAAGAACAAAAAATTTACCTCCGCAAATTTACAGATCTAACATTGTTGGGCTGTTATTTAGACGAATTATATATACAGAATGTGTTTTCAGCCTTGTATCACCATCACTGGTGATCTGATAGATAAAATCTGTTGTATAGTTTTCACTGGTTCAGACGTACTTATATATATATATATATAAAAAGAAAATCAAAATTGAAAACAACATTCAAATCTATGATTGTGTTGGATAAAAACCGCAATTTTTATACGTGTGCATGCAAAACAAATTTCTTGGTAGAGGGGTCTAAATACAGCACAAACAACATTTTCCAAAAGACCAAAAAAGTGAAAAAGTATATTTTAACAAAACGCATTTGACTAGCAGGTCGAACAACTGATGTTCTTAAACCCTGCTGACTGCCATTGGCGATTGCCAAATAAACGGATCACAAGATGTAATAAAATGGATCTTATAATTAATTTAATACTAAACAGAAAACAATAAACTTGAGGAAAAGATGGTATACCGCAAACATGAGGTGCAAAAATGTGTACACAATATTCGGATTTCGACAATTAATGTCTCTTCAGTGATGTAAGGAATCGAAACGGTATTTGGAAGGCACAGTACATTCAATGGAAATGAGATGTGCCAATGCTAATACAACTGCATACCAAATATCAGCACAATTATGAAGGGGCCAAAAATAAGCATTTTTCTAGTTTCTAGACAATAACTTGTGTTCAAGTGTATGGATCTCTCTGAAATTGTACTGCAAGGTACCATACCACAAAGGGAAGGCTGGGATTGATTTTGGAGGTAATTGCCTCCAAATTTTAGGAATTAAGGGCCAAAAAGGGGCAAAAACAAGCATTTTTCTAGTTTCATGACAATAACTTGTGTGTAAGTGTATGGATCTTTATGAAATTGTACTACAAGGTTCCATATCACAAAGGGAAAGCTGGAATTGAGTTTGGGGGTAATTGTCCAAAACGTTTAGGAATTTGGGGCCAAAAAGGGTCCAAAAAACAAGCATTTTTCTATGTTCCAGACAATAACTTGTGTTCAAGTGTATGGATCTCTCTGAAATTGTACTGCAAGGTACCATACCACAAAGGGAAGGCTGGGATTGATTTTAGGGGTGATGAATCATGAGGGGGTAAACATTTTTAAGTTCTTACATTCATTCTGTGTCAGAAACCTATGCTGTGTCAAATATTTTTACAATCCAAATTCAGTGCTGTATCAAGCTTGAATGTTGTGTCCATACTTGCCTCAACTGTTCAGGGTTCGACCTCTGCGGTCGTATCAAGCTGCGCCCCAGCAGAGCATTTTATTCCTTATTGTTAGTTGTTGTTCTTGTGACAAGTTGAGCTCTTTACAATAGAACTTTACAGTTTGTACTTTTGCTGTGTTGTTACTACCATGTCTCGTTTTAATGCAGGGTTGAGGTCACACAACCGTCTTTAAACATGTCACATTCTTTATGTGTCTTTCTCAAGTCAAGAAAACCTGTAAATTACTCATCAAAGATACCAGGCTTATAATTTTGTAGGCCAAATGGGCGTTTTGTCTACGAAAGACTTATTGGGCATGCTTGAATCAATAAAAATTAAAATGCTAAATAAGGTACAAAGTTTAAAAGCATTGAGGACTCAAAGCTACGCAAGGATTTATCAATACACTTAATCAATATATTCCTGCGGTAGTAAATCTTATAAAGTTCTTCTAGCTGTCCAAAGCCTTGTAAACAGATAATTCACGAATATGACTAACTAGTACAATGATAATTCATATGATGTCATATTCCAGTGGTTTTCTTTTATTTTTGATCAATAGAATAGTAATAATCAGGCCTTTGTATTTTCCTCTTTTGAATAATTTCACATCTTCTGATATTAGGGCCTTTTACAGCTTTCTGTGTTGCTCATTATTTAAGGCCATACAATGACCTGTAATTGTTTACTTATTTGTGCTTTGGTCGATGAAAAGATGTCTTGTTGACACTGATGACCACATCTCCTTATTTTATATTGTCTATTGTATATATTATTCATTTTCAGAGTGTTATTTTATACGCTTTCAGATACCAAATTAGACTTTAGCGACATTTTAGATCAAATGATGAGACAGTTAGTGATATCAGTGGATGACAGACGCAGCATTGAACAAAATGATGATCCGGAAAAAAAACTGCTCAGTATGATGATTAAAAGGGGAGAGCCTAATAAATCTGTGTGTATTGATGTTTTAAAGCAAAATAGTGGATATGAAGATCTCGGAGAAAAATTGAAGTCTGATTCATCAAGCTCAGTGTCATCACCCACTAAAACAGGTAAGATCTGTATTTGTCATCATAAAACAGATCATGGAGATCCCTGGTGTGCATTCGATCCCTTTATCAAAATTAAATGTAGCAATAATACACTATTGTACAATACGCAACAACTTGCGGAGCATATCATGATTTGAAAGTCCATCACTGCGTTTGTCAACCTGTGTGTCACTCCTATTGTTAGCACTTTATCGGCAGGATAGCATATTTTGTAATTCCTATTTATTCTGTCAACAAACATATCAATCGACTCCCGATGGAGAGAGCTGTTATTCCAGCTGATGAAGTCTATCCAAAAATAAATTGCCCTTCTTTATTTTAATCCACAATTTGTCTATACTATGCTTTTTTTTAAGAATATCAAATACTATTAAGAAATTCGTAAGCCTATGTTTAACAAGTAGACATTGTTGAGATAGTTATTTCTTTGTATGAATAACGCTGCATGCATGTATTTTATTGAGATTTTTACACTTGATTTACATTAAAACGTGACGTTATTTCATAATACTTTAAAGTAGCTCCTCCTGTCCTTGATCTTAAAAATATAAGCCAGTTTTATCAAAGGGTAATTGAACAAATTATGAAGAGAGAAATATAGTTAAGGTACCTACAGCTTTTGGTTTGTTACGCTCATGTCAATGCTAAAAGCGGGGGCAATATAGTTACATCCTGAAATTATATTTCATCATGGCTTGCAATTACTCATATTCTACAGTATTTGGTATTTTTCATTTCTTAAAATTAAATCAACTTGACTTTTTTTATATGTACACTATTTGTTCATGGTACAATGCCTTTTCTGAAGCATATTTCAGACTGTTAAAAAGTGTAATTTACCACTCATCCCCAATTGTATGGACAATAAATGTACAACATTATAAGGGAACCCCGTTCACTAATTAATATTAACAGCTACTGCATCAAGAATGATACTTATTCTACCCTTTTCATTTGTATGGTCTCAACTGTTGATTTATTTTCTAGCAACAAGTGTTATTCACAAAGAAAAAATTTACTATCTATAATTTCGCATTATAAGGCAGTAGGAATGATTGGTCGATTGACCGATTTGTAGCCAACATCATGAAAAATCTCTAGATGGGTCAAGGCAATGGATAAAACGAGGGCACACATAAATTAGTTTTTGTCTCGCCTTGACGGAGTCAAAAAGCGAGACATAGGTATGCTGTTTCCTGGCGTCGGCGACGGCGGCGTCAACAATGTATTAGTTTGTGATTAGGTCTAGTTCATGGTGAACCACTAGTGGTAGGTCAATGATATTTGGTATGCAGTTGTATTAGCATTGGCACATCTCATTTCCATGGAGATTATTTGGCTCTGCCCCCTTAGTCATGGTCTATAGACTTCGAAAATTTTGCTAAGTTAACATGTATTAGTTTGTGATTAGGTCAGTTCAAGAGGAACCATTAGTGGTAGGCCAATGTTAATTGGTGTTCAGTTGTATAAGCATTAGCACATCTCATTTCCATGGAGAATATTTGGCCCCGCCCCCTCAGTCATGGTCTATTGACTTTGAAACTTTTGCTTAGTTTACATGTATTAGTTTGTGATTAGATCAGTTTAAGATGAACTGCTAATGTTAAGTCAATGATATTTGGTATGCAAATGTATTGGCATTTGCAAGTATCATTTCCATGGAGATTATATAGCCCCACCCCTGATCATGGTTCATTGACTTTGAATCTTTTACATAGTTTACAAGTTAATGTTTGTGTTTATGTTTGTTTAAAGGGAATGACTAATAATAAGTCAATGGTATTTGGTATGCAGTTGTATTAGCATTGGCACATCTCATTTCATGGAGATTGTTTAGCCATGTACCTTCAGTCATGGTTCATTGACTTTGAATATTTGCATAACTTACATGTTAAAGTATTGCTATTTTAATTTCAACATTTGCATTATCAAAATTACAAAAAGGCGAGACATATCTCTGTGATAACAGTTTATTACAACTCTTTTAACTACCACCAATATTTTTAGCTCACCTGGCTCAAAGGGCCAAGTGAGCTTTTCTCATCACTTGGCATCCGGCGTCCTGCGTCAGTCATCCGTAAACTTTTACAAAAATCTTCTCCTCTGAAACTACTGGGCCAAATTTGACCAAACTTGGCCACAATCATTATTAGGGTATCTAGTTTAAAAATTGTGTCCGGCCATCATGCCAACCAACCAAGATGGCCACCATGACTAAAAATAGAACATAGGGTAAAAATGTAGATTTTGGCTTATAACTCTAAAACCAAAGCATTTACAGGAAATCTGACATGGGGTAAAATTGTTAATCAGGTCAAGATCTATCTGCCCTGAAATTTTCAGATGAATCGGATAACCCGTTGTTAGGTTGCTGCCCCTGAATAGGTAATTTTAAGGAAATTTTGTTGTTTTTGGTTATTATCTTGAATATTATTATAGATAGAGATAAACTGTAAACAGCAATAATGTACAGCAAAGTAAGATCTACAAATAAGTCAACATGATCAAAATGGTCAGTTGACCCCTTAAGGAGTTATTGCCCTTTATAGTCAATTTTTAACCATTTTTCGTAAATTTTTGTAATCTTTTACAAAAATCTTCTCCTCTGAAACTACTAAGACAAATTTAACCAAACTTGTCCACAATCATCATTAGGGTATCTAGTTTAAAAAATGTGTCCGATGACCCCGCCCACGAACCAAGATGGCCGACATGGCTTAAAAATAGTACATAGGGTAAAATGCAGTTTTTGGCTCATAAGGCAGATTCCATATGAAAAATTGAAATGTCTGTCAAAATGAATAAATAAATAAAAATAATAATTACTGTTATTTTAAAGATAATCTGTGAATGTTTTGAGGAATAATGATGTTAGAAGAAATTATAAAAATAATTTTTGGATATGATTGTTTCCGTTTAAAGTAGAAATGATTAAAACAAGTTGAAAAAATGCAAAAATTTTGACAGAATTAACTCCCATTTTTTTACACAATGTTTATGTGTTGCAATGCTTTATGTTGACACTTGTATACTGGTATTTACTAGTGTAGTCTGGTTATTCAAACATCCCTGTTCCCAAATTTGTTACTTTTTTTAGTCAAAAACATCTGTGATATATATTTTTTTTCACTTTCAAATATCTTGCTTTATAGCTCAGTGTCTGTCAATAAATCTTATGTCACGAACATCGCTGTAAAAACTTTCAAAATCATTGTAGGTTCCAATATATGCCAGTTAAAACTGTAAGTCATGCTGTGCATAAGAAAAAACACATGTTGATTCTTTCATTTAACTTTATTCAAGCAATAGTTTTAACTTATATGTTTCCTACATAAGATCTGTCAAACTTGTTTTCTTATGTCTGAAACATTTGAATGTGCTAACAGTTAAAGTTCTTTGACCTGTAGTGAAATCTTGTTAGATGTTAGGCTGCAGTATTTTCCAGGAGTTTAAAAAATGACTTTCAACTAGAATTTGATTTCCAATGTCAGTCAAAAAAAACAAATATATATTGTCTGTCAAAATATCTTATGTATGAAAAATCTTATGTCAGAATCAAGTCTGTAAAAATCTAATGTCAGAAACTCAATTTGTCTGTCAAATCTTATGTCAGAAATAATAAAGTCTGTCAAATCTTATGTCAGAAAAAATAAAGTCTGTCAAATCTTATGTCAGAAATAATAAAGTCTGTCAAATCTTATGTCAGAAAAAATAAAGTCTGTCAAATCTTATGTCAGAAACAATAAAGTCTGTCAAATCTTATGTCAGAAATAATAAAGTCTGTCAAATCTTATGTCAGAAAAAATAAAGTCTGTCAAATCTTATGTCAGAAACAATAAAGTCTGTCAAATCTTATGTCAGAAACATAATATTTAAGGCTTCGTTTATTTAAAAAGGATGATGCTCATAATTTGTTTTTTGGTCAAATTGTCTTTATCTTTATTAGTAAAGCATGTATTCAAAAACAGAAGTTCATTGCTTATGATTTTTGCCTAACGTGCTTATGGGAGTTGTTTCACTTTCTTATATGGAATCTGCCATATCTCTGAAACCAAAGCATTTAGAGCAAATCTGATGTGAATAAAATTGTTCATTAGGTCAAGATCTATCTGCCCTGAAATTTTCAGACCAATCAGGCAACACATTGTTGGGTTCAAGGCTCGACAATAACGCTTGTCCGATTGTCCGGTACCAGAGGAAAAAAGAGTCGGACAAGTAAAAGTCATATCAAGTTTGTCTGATGGGACAAGTAAAAATCATTCTGTTGAAAATAAATTAAATCCAACTTTGATGATCAAAGTAATATAAAAAAAAACAAGAAAAGAAGATATTTGTTTGACATGTTTACTTGCGATCGATAATTTAAAACTGGTTCTTTGTCAGATACTTTATAACAGATAAAATGCATACTATTCTCGGAAACCCGTCTTACCGAATGTGGCTTTGTAGATAAGGTAACAAGACAGTTAGGCACCGTCACGGAAACGAATCAGCTCCATGTTTAATAGACAGTTCGGCACCGTTGGAGACATTTCGGGACTAAGACAAACCAGTACCTCGTTTTCCTACTTATTTTGTTGCTTTATAATAAATATATGATAAATTTTTTGATCATAAAATTCATAAAATCATATTTGATCATATTTAGACAAAACAATATTTGATTGTGTTTGAATAAACATCTTAATATATTAAAAACAAAACTGATTGTAGTAAGGCATTAATCATAATAATCAATATTTTATCAACTCAAAAGACCAGGATACAAACCAAATGAGTGTAGACTGACAGGCCTAACAGACTGTGCCTGATGTGCAGAGTCTGATGAGACTTTGGCATTGATGAAAAATAGAACCGAAGTCCTGTGACTAGACTTGACTAGATTCAGTTTTTCTGGATTCATATTTTTGAAAAAGGATATCAAGAGATATAAATCAAATTCTGTTCTATTGTTTTAATTCATTTTGTTCATTGAATCAACCTAAAATGCAAAAAAAGGTTAATATTAAGGTTTTTTTGGACAAGTTATAATTCCATTCGGACAAGTTAGTTTTGGTATGTACTTGTCCTATTGGGCAAGTTGAAAAAAAAGTTATTGTAGAGGCCTGGGGTTGCTGCCCCTGAATTGGTAATTTAAGAAAATTTTGCAGCTTTTGGTTATTATCTTGAATATTATTATAGATAGAGATAAACTGTAAACAGCAATAATGAACAGCAAAGTAAGATCTACAAATAAGTCAAACATGACCAAAATTATCAATTGACCCCTAAAGAAGTTATTGCCCTTTATAGTCAATTTTTTACAATATTCATAAATATGTAAATTTTACAAAATATTTTCCACTGTAACTACTGGGCCAAGTTCATTATAGATAGAGATAATTGTAAGCAGCAAGAATGTTCAGTAAAGTAAGATCTACAAACACATCACCATCACCAAAACACAATTTTGTCATGAATCCATCTGTGTCCTTTGTTTAATATGCACATAGACCAAGGTGAGCGACACAGGCTCTTTAGAGCCTCTAGTTTTATAATTGCGGGAATAATTTTGAAAGATTAATGGTTGATGAAATTTTTTTATTGATTTGAAACTTTAAAAACCACAAAAATAATCAGGAATATTAGATATGAAAAAAAATATTTAGGATTGAAACCACCAAATGATTTCTTTGATGGCATATTGCCCTACAATCTCCATTGAACCATTTTACAGGACACTTGTATATGGTTTTAAAAATATTATTGATTAAAAGAAACTACATACAGTATACATAATCAGACAGATACTATCAAAATAAAAACATGACTGAAAGCAACAATTGGCTCTTTTTATCAGAAATGTAACCCTTAAATATTGATGGTTTTATCAATTTATTGGTTTATCCTGGAAACTATTATTGATAGTAGTGAATGGAAGACAACAGAAATTGTCACTGAAGAACTGATGTATAATATACATTTGTACATTATTTTAGACTTACAAGATGTTCCAGATTATAAAATACGTCTACAGAAGAATTACTTAGAAATAATCAACAGATTAAAACACGACCAGTAGATCTACAACAACAGTGAAAGTGATTGAAAAGAAAAATGAGAAACACATGTTTGAATAGAGGAAGAACAAGTTTTTAAAAAGTAATTTGTTTAATTCTCCAGAAATGAATCTGTCCTAAATCAGTCCTGACAGACAAGATGGAGAGAAAAACAGAAGGATCGGATAGAGATATTTATATTATCTATCAACCTTTCAGACATTATTCAAGTGAAATGTGCAATGAATGGATATACTGCAGTTTCATTTTATGATAATGAGTCCGATATAGATTTTTGAGATATGTTATAGTTCGATATAAACTTTTGTAGATTTTTGTGTGCTTTTTTTCTCTCCTTCATATTTGTACATTCCTGAGTCAATTGACATGTTCATGGAATCATACAATAGATTGATTCATCATTCTGTTGATCCAAGCAAACTGATACTGTTTCAAGAGAATGTGATTGTTCAGTTCAATCTAGTGTGGATACTTGATTTTGATTTGTCTGTTATGACATGTAGATTTATGAAGTATTTCAGGTATCACTACAGTCTTATAATGACTTGTTAATGAACTTGTTTTTATTATTCTTAATTGTATTTGATGTATACTATTAAGTCATTTTAATCTTCCGTACGCTTCAATACATTTGATTGTTAAGTAATCTGGAAATATGAGTCATTTGTCTTATGTAGATCATAAAGACACTTGATTGTTCGGTATAGTCACAGGTAAATACTTGAGTGGTTGTATTGTTCGTTGCATTACTGATTTGTCTTAAGTTTGATTTTCAAGGCATAATACTGTTGATTCTTGAGTCATTTATTGTTCATGGCATTCCATGATGTCATTTTTTGCTGTTCAGAAGTAATGGTCTAGGACTGATTTGAAATTAACTCGTTATGTTGTTTCTGTGCAATGAATATTGAACCATACAACAAACAAACTTTTAACATTTTGATTTATCGTTACTGATTACAAAATTTAGGCATAGATGGAAAATGAGAATTTTTACGTTTGCCTTCAGGAGTTATGGTACTTTTTTTACAGTAATTGCAACCTTAGGCTTTACTGTTTGAAGGGAAATTGACTCACCGGTGAATGATCTGTTACGGATGTTTGACTGATCTATTAATGATCAGTGAACGATTACTCATAGAATCCGTCAGATACGTCAAATAAGCTATGTGAGAGTTACTGTGACAACGGTCAGCGATCAATCAGTAAATTAATTATATGCATGGATCGGACAGATATGTATATAATTGAAATTATTATGTAAAATGAGCTCAACAGTGATTACATGCGATAAACGTGGACCTCTTCAAAGACACTTGGTAGCAATAACTCATTAAAAATATATAAATTACGTTTTACGCATTATATTTTATAATGTATTACTTCTTTATTGGTTCTTTTATTTTTTTGCCAAATAAATTACATAAGTGCAGAATAATGTCATGCTAAGAGAGTTTCTGTATCACTAAACAGAGATGAAATATTATCATTTGAAATAAGTACCCTATCTACCAATTATGCATTTTAATGTCTAGATGATGAAAATAAAAATAATAAAACAGTAAAGATACTGAATAAAAGCTTTGTTTGGGCTGATTAAGAGTGTAATTATTTCTTTATTTTAATGGAAATCATGAACCGCCATTGGAATGTATTAAAAAATTTTGTACATCAGGATTGGTAGTTTTTGTCTCGCCTTGACGGAGTCAAAAAGCGAGACATAAGTATGCTGTTTTTGGCGGCGGCGGAGTCAACAATGTATTAGTTTGTGGTTAGGTCTAGTTTAAGGTGAACCACTAGTGGTTGGTGAATAATATTTGATATGCAGTTGTATTAGCACTGGCAAATCTCATTTCCATGGAGATTATTTGGCCCTGGCTCCTCAGTCATGGTCTATTGACTTTGAAACTTTTGCTAAGTTTACCTGTATTAGTTTGTGATTAGGTCAGTTTGTGGGAACCACTAGTGGTAAGTCAATGATATTTGGTATGCAGTTGTATAATCATTGGCATATCTCATTTCCATGGAGAATATTTGGTTCCGCCCCCACAGTCATGGTCTTTGAAACTTTTTGCTTAGTTTACATGTATTAGTTTGTGATTAGGTCAGTTCAAGGGGAACCTCTAGGGGTAAGTCAATGATATTTGGTATGCAGTTGTATAATCATTGGCATATCTCATTTCCATGGAGAATATTTGGTTCCGCCCACACAGTCATGGTCTTTGAAACTTTTGCTTAGTTTACATGTATTAGTTTGTGATTAGGACAGTTCAAGGGGAACCATAAGTGGTAGGCCAATGTTAGTTGGTATGCAATTGTATAAGCATAAGCACATCTCATTTCCATGGAGAATATTTGGTCCCTCCCCCTCAGTCATGGTCTATTGACTTTGAAACTTTTGCATAGTTTACATGTATTAACGGTCAATTCATGATTGCGTCTGTTAAACACCAAACATACGCTAGTGTCAAACTCAATTTGTTAACATTCTTTTTAATTCATTTCTCCCAGATTTTTTTTTTAGATTGTAATTGAAATTGACGAAAAGTTCAATAAGATCAACTATCAAAAGCATGAAAACAAATGTGTCTGGGCCTTTTATAGCCGACTATACAATATGATTTTTTTTTCTCATTATTGAAGGCCATATGGTTGCTTACATTCACTTCATCTCAACATTGGTGAATAGTTGTCTCATTGACAATCATACCACATCTCCTTATTTTGGATTCAATTTTGCTGATGCACTTTGCCTATATACCATTTTGTGTTTCTTTGTTGAAACATTTACTTGCTTTTATAATGATAAAGATTATATTACAATGTCGACTGTTGTACCCTAATTGTTGTTGTTTTTACCTATTATGCATCTTTGTTTTGCTAACACGTGGTGGTGAATGAGATAGAATTTAATGCAACTGTCATACAAGTGAGAGGTTTACATGTAGCTTGCTTTAACACCAGGTTTAATCTACCATCTTCTACACAATGAAATGCCTGTACCATTTCAGGAATATCAATTACGGACTTTAAAAAACGCAACATTTGATTAGTTTTTTTAGTTTTTCATTTTGAGATACACATTACGCATGAAATACTAAATTAAATAATAATTTGATTCATTTCTTCATCGTCTAAGGTAAGTTTGAAATTCGAAACTTGAACTGATAACGTTACGCTTAACATTTAAATCGTGTCAAATGCAAAGAAATCCGGATTTTTTTCTCTTATTTTGCTGGTCGTGTCAATCGTAAAAGGTAAAGACAGCTGTTAAATATTGCTAATTGACTGACAGAAAGGTTAACCAATATTATACTGTTGGTAATGTTTTGAGTCAAAGTTTTCCTCCTTTTGATTTTGCCCATTTCCACCCAATCCAGTCTGTTTTTGCAGTAATGTGGTGAACACTTAAACCTTGATAAACATAATTAACGTGGGTTATATGGCATTTCAGCATACTAGAAACATTGCTAATGATGTTGCCTAATTTGATTGAAATGACGTAACATTAAACTACAGGTTGACTGGGTCAATAGGTGGTCACTTACGAGTTATGACTACCTGCTCTGAAGTTTCAGGGATTTAAAAGTAATTTTATAGCGCTAAATTGTTCTCAAAAGAACGTGCACTAAATTCCGTCTGTAAATTTTAAATGACTTAATTTTAATTTTCATTTCTCAGTCGTGACGAAAAGGAAAATCAATATTTTTTTACTGATTAGAACTTGGCAATGGATTCAGGAAATGTTAAACGTAGATAAAAATCATGTATGCGCTTCTAAGTTCGTGTCAAGAAATTCATGCGACGTCGAAATTCCGCGATATTTGATTGTCTGAGGAAATTAAGGTATTGATTTTTATATTCAAAAAGGAGTACGGGAAGCATGATAAGCCATGAAATGAATATAAGTCATGATTTGATGAAAACATAAACAAAGTATGTGTTGCGTTTCTTAAATCCATCCGTATATTAACAACACAAGATAGTGACAAGGACACCTCACCATCTAAAAATGGACAATTAACAAGAAGAAATGAAAAATCACTTCTTTGATCATTTATTTTGGTATTCAGTTTCCCGTTAAAGATATAGATATCAATAACCAGAAAAGGGCATTATTTTTGTTAGTATTAGCTTAATTTAAAGTCCGTTCAGCAGGATAAATCTCATAAGTGTACATACTGAAGTCGTCATTATTGAGAGCCAATATATCATACAAATGTCTGAAGGTGTCACTAAAAGTTTGTATCAGATGTTGTTTCGATGGGCCTTTGCTGATTTTAGTCATAACAATACATAAATAGGTCTGCAATAAGTGGTGCTCATTCAGTCCCCATTGGTATTCTGATAAACTTGCTCATTTAAATAACGTTTTTTTAAATAACCTTGTGTTTCCTAAAAAGTAAAAATCATTCAATGTTCTCTCAAACAAAACGTACATTCTATCAGTCAGCTATAAACCAACATACCAAAAACAGTTCACAATCTGCAAGCATTATAAACGAAGTTATTTATGAATGTTTTTATTTTTAGCTCACCTGGCCCGATGGGCCAAGTGAGCTTTTCTCATCACTTGGCGTCCGTCGTCCGTCGTCCGTCGTCGTCGTCGTCGTCAGTCGTCGTTAGCTTTTTACAAAAATCTTCTCCTCTGAAACCACTGGGCCAAATTTAACCAAACTTGGCCACAATCATCATTAGGGTATCTAGTTTAAAAAATGTGTCCGATGACCCCGCCAACCAACTAAGATGGCCGCCATGGCTAAAAATAGAACATAGGGGTAAAATGTAGATTTTGGCTTATATCTCTGAAACCAAAGCATTAAGAGTAAATCTGACATAGGGTAAAATTGATTATCAGGTCGAGATCTATCTCCCCTGAAATTTTCAGACAAATCTGACATTCTGTTGTTGGGTTGCTGCCCCTGAATTGGTAATTTTAAGGAAATTTTGCAGTTTTTGGTTATCTTGAATATTATTATAGATAGAGATAAACTGTAAACAGCAATAATGTTCAGCAAAGTAAGATCTACAAATAAGTCGTCACGATCAAAATTGTCAGTCGACCCCTTTAGGAGTAATTGCCCTTTATAGTCAATTTTTAACAATTTTTCGTAAATTTTTGTAATCTTTTACAAAAATCTTCTTCTCTGAAACTACTGAGACAAATTTAACCATACTTGGCTATAATCATTATTAGGGTATCTTGTTTAAAAAATTTGTCCGATGACCCCGCCTTCCAACTATCATGTCCGACATGGTTAAAAATAGAACATGGGGGGGAAAATGCAGTTTTTGGTTTATATCTCTGAAACTAAAGCATTTAGAGCAAATCTGACAGGTGGCATAAATGTTCATCAGATTTAGATGTATCTGCCCTGAAATTTTCAGACGAATCCGACAACCCGTTGTTGGGTTGCTGCCCCTGAGTTAGTAATGTTACAGAAATTTTGCAGTTTTTTGTTATTATCTTAGATATGATTATAATATGTAATATCTAATACTATTAATTATGATTTTAACCTTATTTTACATGATTTCCAAAGCATCAGTAAATACAGGTGAGCGATACAGGCTCTTGAGAGCCTCTAGTTTTAGTTTCTACCCACTGGTCACCGATACGTGATATGTCATTTACGTAAACGAAAGACCACTCGATTTTTAAGTAATCCTTTTACACGAATTAACCAAGCATCAACACAATTTCTGTAGACCGTATATCGAACAAAGATAGAAGATATCAGATCAGTTTTAAAAATATACAGGCATTACATCAAACAAAGAAAGAAGATATCAAATCACATTTATGAATATTTAGGCATTACATTGGTCAAAGAAAGAAAATATAAAATCAAAATATAAAGGCATTACATCAAACAAAGAAAGAAGATATCCGATCAATTTTATGAATATAGATTTATATTTATTAAGTTGATGAACAAACATGTATTTATGAATGCTTAAATACAGAGCCTTTAGTACATATCGAAAAGTCTACACAAAGCAAAAACAGCAAACACACAAACAAAGTTAGATGTTTTAATTTGTTATGATAAAATTATAATAAAAGATAAAAATATACGAACAAGATGAAATGGACTTGTTTTGACAGACATTTCGGCACAACGAATGGTCTTAATTTCAGCAATGTCAGTCCCTTATCAAAATGAGCTATGCGTGTGTTTAAAGAGCTCACTCGTTCGTACGCCTGCTTTATTTTATTAAAGACAAATAATTCAATTGTAAGCTAAACTTTGTATCTTGATCTTTTTACTTATGCTTTATATGTTATACTTAGATCCACGTCCGTTCCTCAAAACAAAGTCATATGTGTTGTCTCTTTCTCAAATCTGTGTCCAATATTTCATTCATCTAGTCGACGTCCAATATGACACCAATCATGTTATACCAAACCGACGTCCAATCGATCGAAATCATCTCTCATCGATGTCCAAAAGCATTCAATTATATCATCATTTATTTCAAGTTTGATCTTTGTTTATATCATATGTTTCATTTTGTGTTAATAAAAATAAAAAGACGATATTACACTTCGACATCATATTGCATGTACATGCGAAATAATATTTTGGTGAAAGCAGATTATCCTCTCGATCTACGTTATCGTATTCCTGTCATATTCCTATAAATGACTGTCATCTGAATATACGATAATA